ACATATCAATAATTAGAAAAGTAATAGTTAGAAAGCAAGTTATATAGAAATAAGTAATTTTAATTACTTAGAGTATATATATATATTAAAGAGTAAAAAGACTAATTGAGTATATCTTATTATATTAATAAATCAAAATAAATTTTTAAATGAAGATAAATTCTTACATAAAAATATAAAAAGTTAAAAGTAATATTAAAAAAAATATACTTTGAAAAATACCTTTCCAGTATATTTATTATTCTTATAATTTTTCAATCCTTTATGCTCTTAAATATCATATTTTTAGTAAATATCTCATTTTAATTCAATCTGAAGAATTGGCTTTTATTCTCTCTATTGCTTCATCACCTATTTATAAGAAATCTGGATTATGAGATGATCTTGAAATTGCTTCTAATTATTTATTAGATTTCTCAAATATATTAGAAAGTGAAGAAGAAATAGCAATAATATCAGAGTATGAAGAAATGATAAACTAAAATAATGCAATACATCATTATTTAATATTTTTTCATAATATACTAATCATGCAATCTATAGAATTTAAATTACTCTGATGATTTAGAATCAAGAATGATATTTACAAATATAGAAGAAATATCTAATCTTACAGTTCTATTCTCAATTTTCTTAGAAGACTCTAAGGAAATATCACTAGATGATGCTATTAATAATCATATATATTCACAAGAAGTTGAGTAGTCAAACAAAGTTTATCATAACTTTATAGAACTTATAACAGAATATCAATTATCAAATACCTATAATGATAAAATAATTAAATGGTTTAATGCAAGTGCTAACATAAAAGAAAGTTCTTTATTTAAAAGTACCAAAGAGAATTATGAGTTTTTTAATAATACTAAATTTTTATATCTTAATTTTAAAGAAGTACCTATAATCAATTTTCAAGAAATAGAATATATTTTTTATTACTGATCAATAATCTAAAGTATTAAAACTCTTCTACTTTAACCTAAAGCTAGCAATGAATTCACTTTATCATATTAAAAAAAACTAAGATTAAAAATGATCAGGAATTATAGATTTATGATGAATAATTCAAGAATAAGTGGTGAAAAGAAATAGAATTGACCATATCTCTTGATAACTGATTATTATTAATTATTCTTTATTCTGATACAATAACTTGTGATTAATTAGAAAAAATAATAGAATATCCTATATATCTTTTGCTTGATAATATTTCTAATTAGTGGTGAGATAAGTCTTATGTAAAGGTATTTGTTGGATATTTATCAAAACTAAAGACTAAAGATATATATACATGAAATACTGAGTTATTCTGACAATTACAAAGATGAGTCTTCTAATAGTATCTTCATATATTATTAATACCTATCTTAGATCAATAAGATATATATTTCATTATAAAGAATCAAATATATATCTTTATACCTAAAATTTCAGTTATTCTCATAGATATGGCAGAAGCTGGATTATTTACTGAAATATATCTTCCATCAACATCTAAGTAATCTTGTCATACTTATTATGTGACTAATAATAATTTTAATAATATGACATTATCTAATATAATTCTCTGAATATCAGAAAAAATACAAGTAATAATTAATGCAGGATAATTAAAAGAATATTTAATTCATAATAAGAATAATTTCTTATAGAGTTTTAGATTAGTATAAAATCTTTTTAATAATTGATTGATATTGATATTAATTATAATTGTTTGATTAATTAATTATATTAGTGATTTTAATATCTATGAAGTAACAGTTTCTGATAGAATGCATTTGCTTGATTTGAATATTTTAAAGTATCTTTTAGAATTTACCTGAACATATATTTAATAAAAAGTAAGAATGATAACTATTAAGAAAATGAATTTATAATTATACATAATTCTTTGATATCAAGAACTTGTAATTATAAAAAATAGTCTAGAAAATATATTACAGTTTATAACTAATGATTATCATAATATAATAAAGGTGATAATTTTTATAATAGATAATTTATTTATTGAATATAAGTATGGTGGAGTTCTATGTGAGAGATTATGTGAAATATTCCATAAGTATATGGAAATGTATATGAAAACTCATCAAGAATCATTTACTGATGATGATTTAATTGAACTAGAGATAAGTTAAATCTTTATTATGTTGCTTTAGCTATAACGATAAGATATAATGATAGTTATACAGATTACTATTTTATAAATAGGTATTGATCATTGATTTCTGTCAAGAATTTGTAAGTATGTTTGCAGATTATTCTTCTAGCCAATATAAAATATCTAAGAATCATGTACTCTGATATCATATTATTTCTGTAATCTGATGTTATGGAGTGATAAATAGAATATCTATCAAGATCTTTGAGACTCTCTATAAAGAAAATGTTAAAAATCCATACCAGATATCTAATAAAAAGAATTATATAACACAAATGATAAAAATGATAAATTAATATCTATCGATATTTATCAATACATACTAATAGTTATCATTATTAATATTTTATTATAGATATGATGCAAGACCTTAATTACACAAAAAGTACCAATATCATTTATTAAAAAAGATTCTGGTTTTCAAAATCTTCTATGGGAATTATGAATAACTAAAATAGATACAATAATTTCAAAAAATATTGATATTCATCAACTATATCAAGAAGATTTTAATAATTTTCAAATGGAACTTGAGGAATTCTTTAGCTTAAATGATAAGTCATATGATCAAGAGTTTGCGTATTTTAAAATATATTCAAGTACTTATGTGGAATCAATTGATATTATTCGAGCAACTAATACATTTTATGACTCAGAGTGATTAGTCTCTGTTGATAAAAAAGAAGAAATTTTTTGGTATGGAAAGATATAGTATATAGTGTAATATTATAATACTATTTATTCACAATATTAACATTACAAAAGCTTCTATTATTAACAAATAATAATCTTAAATTTAGGTACTATTATTATTTGAATTTTTTTACATAAAAAATCATGAGTCATTAAAACTTGCTTTATTACAATGGTATAATATATTCGAAGAAAATGAAGATGAAAATACAGAACTTTATGGATGCCCAAGATTATGATTGACTAAATAATATACATGTATTTATTTAGATTCAGTTGATATGATAATACATATTATACTAAGATATGGAAAAAATAATGAATATTTATTAAATAAATATATTTTTTAATATTAAATAAAAAGCGTTTTAGAAGTTTTAAGTCTTGAAAATAATTAAATATGTGAGTGTATGCATATTCATTTAGGTTATATAAGCTAAACCAATATTAATATGATAAACTGGTTTTAAAATAAGTATTTGAGTTAACTATTAATATATATCATTTGTTATCGATAAATAATATATTGTGATAATGATCGATATATTATTATATATTGATAAATAATATATTAATAATGATTGATTATTATCGATATAGATATTTATCAAAGATCATCAGAGTCATCAATTAATATCGATATCTCAGAGAGATATTTATCAATTTTTACAGATATAGTGATGATTCTCGATGAATATCTCCCCAAAAAATTTCCTGATGTAATTGAAGCTAAGAGAGATTATATAATGTATTAATAATCAGGATATATTATAAACATTCTAATAAAAAAAAAAAGGTTTTATCTTACCTTTTAGCTGAGTTATAGGGGGTAGGTTACTTCTAATGAGCACTGTACTTGAAAGTATTTGGATTATATTTCTTAAAATTCTCTTTAATTTTTCACTAGCTAAGATATATTACTTTTATATATTTTAGAGATTATATGAATAATACTTTTGTTATGATACTTATATTATTTTTGTTATGATCTAAATATTACTTTAGCTAATATTATAATATTGATTTTATTATGATGATAATTTTGCTAACTTTGCTATGATATTTTGTCATGATCATTATATTTGTGAAATCATCTAAAAATATTTATAAATAATATTCTCTAAAATTTAATAAGATATAAATAATTAATCATCCAATTATATTGTGATATAAAACAACTAATAATAAATAATAATTAATATTCTATCATATCACAACAATATCACATTTTATCTTGTTTACAATCATTAACAAAATAATCTTACATTTTATCAATTTTATTATTCAGACACTTCGGTTTGTCATGAAGATAACTCTATTAAAATCATATGACTTTGATCATTTTCTGAGAGAATGGTTTTTGTATTATAATTTAACTTGGAATTGTGACTTCATATTTCTGGATATAATTTCAATAAGTCTTGGACTTGGTTTCTAGTCAATTCATGCTGAAGCTTTTTTTATCTCTTCTCTTGTTACTAATCCTTTCTTTAACTTTCAAATCCACAAAATCATCAACTTCTTTATCTTGAAAGAGGAGTTGGATGGACGGGTATCAGAATATCGTTTTGTGACTGCTTCTGTTCCAATTTCGCGATCCTAGCCTTAAGCTCGGCATTTTTTTCTGCAGTCTGTTCCAATTTCACGACTCTGGCCTTAAGCTCGGCATTTTCTTTGGTGATCTGTTCTAACCTCACGATTCTGGCCTCGATTTCTTCTTTATCTTTGTATTCTCGTATTCTCGACCTTGACCTCAGCATTCTCCTTTCTAAGCTCAGAAATCTCAGCTAAGAGCTTCAAATTTAATTTTTTCAACGAATTGATTTTGGATCGAGATTCAAGCTCTATGACATTTTTATTAATAAATTTTATATAAGGTGTAGATTTATTCAAAACCTTTTTATCGTGCAGACATGCCAAGAAAATTTTTCTGAATTTTAATTAACTACGCGACTGAACTGTGACGTATGCTCTTACACATAATTACATAGGAAAAAATTACATCGCATCTGTATTCTCTGAATTAGAATCACATTTTTATCAATCCTGATCCAACGTGTGAAGAAAAAATGCTAGAAAAATATTGCTTATAATATACGGGAAAAAAATATACTTCATAGTCTTACATTGGCCTTGATAAAAGCATTCACTGCTTTGCGACCTTTAATGGCGATGGCTTTGTTTGAACAATGTCACTAAACTTTCTTTTCAAAATCTGAACTTTGTCATTATCATGTTCTACTTTCACGGTACTTTCTGACTCCACCTTAATGACCATCTACATAATTAATTCAGAATGAATAACTGAAAAATCAAAAGATGTAAAAGATAAAGATAAACTTACGATGAATTCTAGTAATTTTAATATACCCGCCTTCATCATATGAATCTTGCTCGGATGAGAAGCAACAGTGAAACGCCCAAACTCCTCATATACGTATACACCATCCTTCCACATAATTAACATCTTGATTTCGAACAAATATCCAAGTATACCAAATACAGCACGATTACTGTAGTTAACATCCCCGATTTCCATTGCATATAATATGCGAACATTCAAACAATCTCTCAATTATCGATATAATTTGAAAGAATCCGTAGAGAGCTTCGTAAGGTCAGGTTTAGTAGGAGGCCCTGCTTGCTCTCCGATAAAGATTTCTTCTCCCGTCTCCCAAGACCGGGCCAATAGATCGGCAAATTTTCCATCAACTACTTTATGTATTGCATGATCAAGTCCATGGTTTTTTCTGTATTTAGATGCAAATACGGGAACCTCCATGCTGAGAAGAATATAAGAATAAATTTCAAGAAGATCTAATGATAAGATATTTCTATTTAAACCTAATACTTACGCTCGCCAATCCAGTCCTGCAAATTCTTGTAAAGCCTTAGAGAAAAAATGATGTCCGAACTCTGACCAATAGTGATGTTCATTACTGTCTGGAGCACTAATGTCCGGAATAGGTTTAAGGAATGATTCGATTCTACAACACAAGATGAGACGCGGAATATAACAATAGGAAATGAAATGATAATAAAACCTTAACCAATACTTACAAAGGTAACATTACTCGATGCAGGTACTTTTTAAGTCTCTTCACCTCCTCAGAATCTCCAACTTTGTCTACAATCAACGCATATGTGATGTGAACCCAATCAGTAATGGTTTTCTTTGGACCGCCTTCAGTTAATGACTCCTACAAAATAACATAACATATCTATGAATAACTGTTTTGTAAACTTGTTAAACACGAGTCATATAATTACCATATAATATTCCTCTATAATTCTACACCAAGATTCCGGTAGCACAGCATTTCTTTTTGGTCGAACTGAAAGCAGTTTCGTATATTGCTCGATTGTCAAAAATTTCGCGAAATCACTGTCACCTCGGATGTCCATAACATCGTCGTTGGTACAACTATACATTGAGCAAAGGTTCACATAGCACTATATGGTACCCTCTTTTAAAATAGTGTAGTTCAAATACTTACGAGTACACATTATGTTTTTCCTGTTCTTTGTATTTTTCGAAAAGCGGAATAAATTCTCCGAAATACTGTTCAAAGAAAACCATTGAGCATTCTTCACACGCACCAACAGGTAAGTTCGAGCAATATCTTCAAAACAAATACCTTAACCCCATCCAGACTTGCTAGACTCTCAGCGGAAGCTCTACAGATGCTTTCCTGTCTGAGATTTTTGAGGATTGAGAGATAGCCAACTCGAAAAGGTTTCCAATGATTTGGTGCGGTGGAGTTCGAGTTCCTTTTGCGTAATAAACAGGAACAGCCAAAATCTATGGATCAGGTATCTGAATAAGCAACAAAAAAAAGCTTTCTTACCATCTTTCACGTCATTTCTACCTAATAAGCTGGGATAACAAGAATTATTGCAGGCTATACATATCTCAAAGTATTGCATTTTGTACTTACTCGCTTTGGGATCTTGCATGCTTCTGATTCTCGATCTCATCAGTTTCTTCATGGGTCGTCTAAGAATACAAAATGATTGACAGATGCAGAATCAGAGCACAATTAAGTGTAGTTAAAAACAAAGTAACACATCATTACCATGGGGGATTTTTCACCATCATCGAGGTAGTCACGGTCTTCGTCACTTTCAGAGTCGTCCTCATCTGGCTGGTCCTGTTCGTATTACAAAGAGTAATCGATTAGAATTTTGTTAGTGGTCAAACTTGTAAACGTAGCCCACAACAATAAAACCCAATAACAGTGATCACCTTATGAGTTCTAGTACGTTTTGCTGTTTTTTCGTTATCATTATCGAGGAACCTCTTCCCGATGCTGGCAGTGGTTGACTTGGCGTATTGTTGAATTTGTTCTGTCGCTACTGTGGCAATGGTTACGTGTTGGGCTGTCTGTGTACGGAAAATGGATCAAGAGTGAATGTTTTGGTCTAGCACGTTGGATTGTAGAAGAATGAGTGAAGTACCTGCAACTTCCGAACCTTCGCCTTTGCCTTTTCCTCTTTTTCCTCAATCAACTTGTTCTTCATCATAATATTTTGGTTTTCATTCTGAAGCTTCCAAAATCTCCTTATTACTGATGACCGTTTACTTTCCTAATAGTGATGATAAACCAAAAATTCTAAGTAAATGTGCCTAATAGACTTCGTTTGGTAATTTGTCCTATTCACATGCAAATAAAAATAGAAACATCACGAACAAACAAGCACCCAGGTAGTATCATTCAATTATTGAATATCTATCTTTCGCGAGCACCATGGTCCCAAAGTCCATTAAGCATAGCTCACCAACAGACATGACAGTCGTTCCCACTACAAACACGACGGTTTGCAGAGTAGTTAGTGTACTCAATGGTACGAAGAGTCTCAAGGTGATTCGTGGAGCAAACTCACCAACAGACATGACAGTCGTTCCCACTACAAACACGACGGTTTGAAGGGTAGTTGGTGTACTCAGGTTTCTGATCCAATAAAATAATACAATTCACTTTCCTTGAAATGATTTTTCCATTTTAATACTTGCTGGCCAAATGCTGATGCTTCGGCGTAAAATCTGCTAATGGTAGTTATTTCATTATTATACCGAGCGTTTTCAACTTTTGATTCTTCTAAGTCGCCAGCCGAAAGTCGAAAATCTAAAAATTTCTTGAGCGAAGGCTCATCCGTGCTCTCCCAAAAGGCTACATAATCACAAAATGATAGGTTATGTTATAAAGCATTGTCATAAGAAAACGGGTGTACAGTTTGCCTTACCAGGATACTTCAAAGCAGCAAGACACTCAGGTATTTAATAATTTGACAATTTCTCTTCGAAGTTGATTTGATGTAAGGTTTTGCTGTACTATATTATCAAAAAGTTCCTGTGATAATCTGTTGTGTGAGACCACGTGATAATCTTGAGTCCAGGTGAGAAAATTTACATTATTAAAGCAAATCTAATTTATTAATATAAAAAATGAGTTAGATCCAAATTAAATTATAATTATATGTAAAAATTAGAAAAATGAAATTTCTCATAACCAAAGAAAGATTATAGAATTAGAGAATTTTATCTCACTATAAATTATTTTCTAATTAAATTTCTTAAAATATCATTTATTCATTCTACTTCTCTTATCAGAACTATTATTCACTATATATTGGCATATTGACTAGTAATAATTCCATCATAAGAGATAGTTGAAAATACAATTATAGAATAAGTTGTTCACCTTCTCAAAATACTTATATTATAGTCTTTTATGAGACTTTAAAACTTTTTCTTACATTAGTATCTAATATAAATAATATTAAATTAGGAGAATATCATTTATTAACTGATATTTTTTTATTAGGAATCTCTCTTCTGACCCCCAATCAATACTTTAGTAGCTAATGATCAGTTATATACATGTAATGATCAGCTGTATATATATAATGATTAGCTGTATGTGACTTTTACTTTGTATTATATGTCTTATTTTATATTATGTATCTTACTTTATATTATAAATTTGATTGTCATTATGTATCTATTAAATGTAATAAAGATAATGATGCAAAGTTTTTTATTAATCTCAAATTTTAACAAAGCTTTCTTTTATAAAAAGTTTCAAGATTTGTATCAAGAATTTTGTAATGTATTTGCATATTATAAACAAGTAATATTATATAATCTCAATCCAAATCATCAAAAACTTATACAAGAATATCTTACAGCTTGGAAACAAGCCAGATATGAAGATAAACTATTAATCTATAAGAAAATACAAGAGTATTTTGATATTATTCTCTCTCTTATTCATTCTTACTAAAGATAATACAGCAAGTATATGATATTTATTTATTACCTGTTATAATACGTTGTAACTCCAAAATTTTATAAGTCACAACTAGTTATAACTAGATGATACTTTATTTATCATCATGTTGTAATAATTGAGGAGTTATCTTTAATTCTTACTAATATTATTTTATATGAAGTAATATGACAAGCTCTAGTCATGCTTCTTTATTAATTAGTATGTCATCTTTCTTATAATTTATTATTATATTATCAAAAAAAGCCATAGACCAGCATGATACAATAGAGAAAATCAAAATTGCTACTAAAAATTTGACAGAATATAAACAAATGTATATAATTATAATAAATAAACTGTTTAAAGTAGTTTTTCTATTAAAAATTGTTACTAAAAAAAATTAATCAAGAAATAAGAAATGTGACTCAAAAAGCTTAAATATCACACTAAAGTACAAGCAAAACTTATAGTCAAGAAAGCAAAATTACTTGAAGAAAAAGTGATAGAAAAGTATAATAGATCTGAAAAACTATTAATAGTAATACTTCATCAAGACTTGTAGGATAAAATTCATGATTGTGTTAAATTTGAAGCTGCATATGTAAAAAGAAAAGTTACTATTAAAGTATATACAATAAAGTATCTTTATCAAATATTAGAAGAAAAATATAATATTTACTTATTTTATCAATACATATCAATATATCTTGAGTCTCATCATTCACATACTTTTGCTGTATATCATTATCATCATCTGATCAAGATTGGTCTTATCTTCATAGTATGAATAGAAATGAAAACTTATGTTAACAAATATTATTGCTTAGTCTCTATCAAAACTACCTGAATTTTTGCTAAAGTTTTTGTGAATGAGATAGTTATCATCTCTCAGAATAACAAGATAAAGATTAACTTACATTGAAAAATTTTTGAGGACACAGTTTTACACAGATCTTCAGATCCAAAATCTGTACAAAATTTCAAACCTGACAACAATTGGTAAAGAAAAAAAAATTAAAAAATCTGCACAAAATGTAGATCTGCACAGATTTTTTAATTTTTTTTTTAAAATTCTACGCAAAACTTCGCAATATCAGTTTCAAGTAGCAGTAGCAATTTCAAGTAACTGTAACAATAACAATTTCAAGTAATTGTAGAATTCATAGGTTAAATAATAGTAAAGATATTTATTTTATTGTAAACTATATACAGTAGCAATCAAAAAGAATGCAACACTTTAAATAAATTTTTTAAATGTATTTATTTAAGTAAATATATAA